GCGGGGGATCTGGTGTCTTTTTCCAGCAGTCGTAGAGAAACGGGATAATCTGAATTTAAAATAAAACCTAAATAGCAAATTTAAGTCAAAAGCAGGGAATCAGGCACACACCGGTATTTTGTATATTTTCCTTCCAGCTTTGAGCATCTTTGATGCAGGGTAAGTTGATATTTTAGAAGCTACACATTTTATTGTACTGGTAATCTTTGTTGATACAATCGAGCTATGTAATCCTATTAGTGTTTTTTTAGAAGGCAATATTTGTTGTTAGATCCTTGCGCAAAGATGCATATAATTACCATTTTGTTCAAACTTAGTCTTTCCTCCTGTGAGATTTGTTTGTATTTTATCTCAATAAGCATTAAAAAAAGATGCTGTAGCATATTTATGTCTAATTATAAAACACTTTATCTTCTTTCAGGAAAGTAAAGGCAGAGTACTTTTATGCAACACTTCCCTCAGCGGTAGGACAAGTTTATTAGCTCAACCTTGTCTTAGTTATTTGTAGTTTATGCAGTGTATTTTAAGAAACTGCATTTTTTTTAAGGGATTGCCTTCATCATCTATCCATTTGTTGCTGCTTATCTGTGGTCTGGTTGCAGAAGCCACAGATCCAGGAGGGAAACCCAGACATCCCTCTCCTTGATGACTCTTCAGCTCTTTCTGGGGAATGCCAAGGTGTTCCCAGGCCAATGAGGATAAATAATCCCTTTAGTAAGTTTTGAGTCTCCTTCAGAGTCATGGGAGGAGCTTGCCCAGAAAAGGCACCAAGGAGGCGTCCTAATCAGATACCCGAACCACCTCAGTTGACTCTTTTTAATGTAGAGGAACGACGACTCGACTCTGAGCGCCACCCCCGCCAGATGTCGGAGCTACTCTCTTTATTTCTAAGGCTGAGTCTGGCCACTCTACAGAGGAAATCCATTTCAGCTGCTTGTACTCGCATGATTCACACCTCATGACCATAGCTGAAGGTTGAACCGTAGACAGACTGGTATACCAAGAACGTTGTATTTTGGCTCAGCTCCTCTGTCACTTTGACTAACCAGAGAAACACCCTCATTATAACTGATGAGGCCCCAATCCGATGATCCATGTCCTGCTTCATCTTACCCCTATAACCATTTTGTGTTGCCAGGAATTGGCATCTCCAGGGCCATGCCTTCGCCTGCCATCTGGCTTGCATTGCACTCAACCTTGATGGATCTCCCTCCAGGTGGTAGATCCACTTTTGTTTTTTGGAGGGCTTGTATGAGCAACCAAGGCTCAATGACCAGTACTTGCTGGTGAATGTCAAATGCAGTCTTGCTTCTTCAGGCAGGGAACGCAGACCTCTAATTCCTGAATAACCAGCCTGTAATGCAGGGAGGCTGATTGCTCTCCCCAGAGCACAGCATGTTAGTGCCAAATTAGTACCACCTGTCTGCTCCTCTTGTCATTCAGGACTAAACTAGACTGCTTTCAACCATCAATTAAGGGATGAATTCAGGCCTCTCTCATGCGTTATTTGCATGTTAACTTAGTGCTTCTAATTCGGCACAGATGAGGCATACGGTCAATGATTAATGGAGGATAAGTGAATGCTAACATTTAAATATTTTAAATATTTTGTTATGTAAACAAAAAAAAAAACAATCTGGGAAGATTTGACATACTTTCTTTATTCTTGTGAATGAGTTCAAAGTGATGGAACTATTTTTTGACATATTCTTTGACAAGTGCAGAATCCAGTGACTGCCACTGTGAAGTCATTAACTTGTTTATGTCTTATGTGGAGCATTAAAACAGTTTGGATTGAAACACCTTAACAAAGATTCTAAAGTGTGTTTCTCTGAATCACAGATAAAAGAGGCATGATTCAGGCACGATGCATATTTATCAGAGTTGTGTGGCGCTGCTCGATCCGTGTGATTCTTGTGGTAACGGTAAACTGCGTCTGCACTGTCTGTTGGAGATTGTTTTTCCTTGCAAGCCGGATCGGTAGTCCTAATGGCTGTTTTCACTTCAGATCTGAGTAGAGCATCAAATGTTGTAGCTGTGGTTTAAATCATGTCTTCACTCGCTTCTTGCGCTCTTGGCGTATGACGGCAAAGTCACACTCTTGTGTTTTACTCTGGTATTGATGCAGAAAATATGCATTACCTTTAAGAGCAACAGGAAAACCATTAGATCGAATTTACACTTAAGTTCTATTTTATGGTATATTTTATTTAAGACAGAGGTCCACTTACTAATGAAATCATATCTTTAAAATGAAAACTTAGTTCTGATGTCATTAGATTTGTAGTTATGACTGTTACCTCTTAGGTTATCTGTGTATTCATGTATGTATTTTGTGTTATAAGAATAGTTTTGTTTTTTTAACCCGTCAATAATTTCAGCAATTTCTTGTTGGTTTACTACACTGTTATGAAACAAAAGTTTTATGTTTAAAACTATTTTTATTTGTTTACTTGTTTTGCCCAATATTCAAATCTGAAGCAGCATTTTAAACACATCCATTGATTACATGTCTGCATAAGACAAATAGATGAGGAAACTGTTTTATTTAACCTTGCCCTCTTTTTGGTACCCACGATACAATCCTGCTTTCACCTCTTCACAAATCTCTAAGGAGCGGCCTCTGTTTAGTTTTAAGCCCTTTGGAGAAAACGCTCCACAGCCAGCGATCGATAGCCCCCTGGGCAGGGCTCAGAGGGGGTGACATCAATTACCAGTTGGATCAAGTTGATAAAGTAGTGTTCTTTTGGAAATGGCAGTTGGGCTCCCTGTCTCTGTACCGAAAATAAGTTTGTCTACATTAAAACAGTGACATTTTGTCTAAACCTACTTGATATTCAACTCAATTTCAGTTTTTTTTATTAACCTTTATTAATAATCTTTTCAGTTAGTGTCAAATAAATAGAACCTCATACAATATCTATTGTTCTGACTTGTTTGATATGAATGAGGGTTTTATTTTTTTGGCATAACAACATCTTAATTATTCTTAAAAGCTTCAACAGATAGCATGTAGATTCTTAATGTTGCAGATAAAAACTGATGTACACTCAGCCCAGTATAAATCAAGCATTCTGCTGGTAAACCATAAAATATTTTTATTTTGCCACTGAAAAAACTCTTAAAATAACCTAACAGGAAAAACGGTACATTCTTTATTATAAGGGCCCGTTTTGTTGTGATTTATTTACAGAGGTTAAAGATGTTTAAGTATGCCCTTTTGCAGCTCTACTTGCTGTTAACACCCCAAAATAAATCTTAACAATGTATCATGAACTATTAATGATTAACAAGGATTGTGTCTCCCAGTCATACTGGTTTTTGTTGGTCAGTAATGCGTAAAAAAAAAATTCCCTGTTGCTTTAAGAATATCATTAAAAATCATTCAAAGAATAAACCAACATAAAACGTTCCAGACGTCTAGAGGTTTCACTGAATGTGTTGGGAATCAGAATTGGAAATTTATTTCAGTTTTTGGTGCACTGTTTTTCTAAATTAGCCCGATTTCCATGTTGCAGATTGTTTCACTGCATTTTTGGCGCTGCATTCCTGCTCATGCTGCGTTGTTACTCTTGATGGACATCGGCGTGTTCTGGGAGAAGAAGGAAAAAAAACCACTACAGTCTTTAGTTTTCTCAGCTCTTGTGTCTTGTGAATAAAGATGCTGGCGGTCATGAGGGGATTGCACAAAGGAAGCTGACAGCAAACAAGACCCCTTTTAAAACGCAGAAATGGGATTGATTCCTGCACTCTTGTTGCTTAGCAACTGCAAAGCCTCGTTGAGAGAGAATATTGACCTTTTGTTGATAAGTCCAATTACATTTTTCTGCCTTCGCTCTGTATATCCAGAGATTTTACAATGTCACAATCTGTCCTCATGTGTGTCCAGTGTAATTTTCATCCAATATCTTAAAGAAAGATGTGATTGTCTCCTGCTTTGACAGTCTGACTAAGAGGATGTGCGAATAAGATTATTCTTGTATTGCATGAATCGGTGTAACGAGGGCCCTCATTGTTAGCAACACATTTCTGTTACTAATTTAGTCAATTACCTAGTCTTCAGATCTTCTGTGAGCTAAACGGCCCCAAACCTGCCACAGGCAAATTTCTATCACTGTTAAAAATATAATTCAACCACATCCAAAACCGTTGCACATGTTCCAGTATGCACCCGGGAATTAAATTGATTTCTAAATTTCATCTACATTTCTTTTTCCTCTTGAACTGTGCACTCTCTGCATGAGAATACTCTTGGAGTGTGCATGCAATTGCAAATGATCAAGTACAGTAGTCTCTCTTTTATCACAGGGGATCCGCAACCTGAAGCTCCGCGACAAGTGAAAAAACGCGAAGTAGGAATAATAGTGCAAGTAGTAAGTATATATATATATATATATATATATATATATATATATATATAGGTGTTTTAAACCCTTCCCACACTCTTGCAATATTCTAAACAATGTTTCTAAACTAAATACACTAAAAGAGCACAGCATGCTACGATTTCAGCTCTCTGCCACCAGCTGCTCTCTTGGCCACGCCCACTTCTCCGCTCTGCATGGGAGATCAGCTGATCTTCATCCAGAGCAGAGATCAGCTGATCAGCTGCAGGAGGAAGCTTCTCTCACAGCTGTGGGCTGCACACAGGTGCTAAATCATTTTAAATAATTCATTTTCAATCAAGAATCCATGCCGATCTTGTGGCTCATCCGTCAATCAGCCAGTTGTGTGTCATGTCCAATCTTACTTTGAAAAACCGCGATAGAGCGAGTCTGCGAAAAAATAACCCCGAAATAACGAGGAACTACTGTACTTAATCAGTTTGTTGTTTTTTAGGTCTGTTGTGAATGGAAATATGTGGGTCATAGGTTAGTTAACTATCATGCACCTGTGTGTTGTGCTGTGTAAGATGCAGCTATCTTATTGACTTTAGATGAATCAAGATTTGTAGATGTAAGAGTTGTAGGCTGGTTTTCATAATTCTAACATTTCCTCAGAACACGTCTGCTCAGTCATCGCCTCCATGCTGAGAAACCTCAAGTCCCAGCAGAGAACCAGACTCCAAAGCAAGTTCACGGAGAACGACTGTGAGAAGGTGAGTTTTTGTTGTTTTTCTTTTGTTGCTGTGGTTTTGCTTCTTTTGTCCTTTATATTTCTTTTGTATCCAAAATGATGATTTAAAGCAAATTGCTTCATCAGGAAGCCTAGGCTGAAAAGTTTATTTTTCCACCATCAATATGTTTTTGTTACAAGGTATTTTGCAGTTCTTGGAATCACAACAATCAGAACTTGTATTTTCTAAATCTGACGGCCCTTTATACAAAATAATTAAACCGTTTTTCTCGTGTGAGGGGCTCAAAAACATGGATAAGTTTGTTTGCACCCATACAGCTTCTTGCAGTCGTTTCATTTCTTGTGAAAAGTGATTCAGGGGAAATCAATTTTTGAATGTACTGGTACATCTAAAAAAAAAAAAAAAGTGATTTTCATGAAAAAGTTGAATATTTTCTGTCCATCACTTCAGAACGAGAAACTAATACATTATATTGTTTCATTACACACAGAGTGAAATATTTCAGGCCTTTATTTCTTGTAATTTTGATGATTATGTCTTACAAATAACGAAAAAACTAAATTTAGTGTCTCAGAAAATTAAAAATATTGTAATAGAGTTCCATATTGTAAACTCATGCAAACTGCGCGCAAACGAATTCTAGACATGAGCTACAAATGTTGCATTCCTCAAGTCAAGCCACTCCTGAACCACAGACGACGTGAGAAGCGTCTCACCTGGCTGAGGACTTCAGAAAACCCAGTGGACCAACACCAGCAGATGGCACGGCACTCCAAACCATCACTGACTGTGGAAACTTCACTCTGGACTTCAAGCAACGTGGATTCTGGTCCTCTCTGCTCTTCCTCCTCCAGACTCTGAGATCTTGATTTTTAAACGACATGAACATTTACTTTCATCTGAAAAGTGGACATTGGACCACTGAGCAACAGTCCAGTTCTTTTTCTCCCCAGCAGGTAAGACACTTCTGATGTCTCTGGTTCAGGAGTGGCTGGACCTCAGGAATACAACATTTGCAGTCCATGTCTAGGATTTGTCTGTGCAAAGTATGCATGAGTTTCCAATTTGGAACGTCATCACAATATAATTTTCTGAGATCCTGAGTTTAAGGTTTTCATTATCTTTTAAGTCATAATCATCAAAATTACAAGAAATAAAGGCTTGAATTATTACACTCTGTTTAATGAATCTATGTAATTTATGTTTCACTTTCTGAAGTAACAAAAAATATTTAACTTTTTCACTAAATTCTCATTTTTTCAGATGCACCTGTATATGCATGTCTGCATGTAATGCAACCAAAAAAGCAAACAAAACAATATGCTTTTTGTTTTACTAAGATATGCTAAGCTAGTATACTGCAAACATGTTCATTGGTAGGCCTGTCACAATAGCAAATTTTTCTGGGTGTGATTAATTGTCTCAGAAATTATTGCGATAAACGATAATATTGTTTGAATTTTGACAATAATTAGTAATTGTCAAATTTAAGAAGAAATGTTGGTTAATTTTTGTGTGTAGTACCTTTTTTGACCACTGGATGGCAGTATAAAATGTTTTGAACCAAAGGATGGATAGTGAGGGAGCGAACAGCATGTCTTAAGAAAAATAGGAGGGAGGCCCCTTGACGTGACGTGGCTGTCTCTCGTTCCTGTTTTACGGTTCTCAAAATGGCGGACGCTCTGTGTCGTTTGAGCTCTTTAGCATAGCTAGTATAGCTAGCGATAGCATAGCATAGCATTGAGCATACATCAGGATCTTTAGCATAGCATTTGTCACACAAAGCTTTTAATAAAAAAACAATAAACAAGTTCTCAGCTTCTTTTTGCAGAGAAAAACAACTTTTTACATGAAGGCACGGGTTTCGACCGTGAATTTTGGAGCTTCGACAAGACGGAGGTTTTTTCCCGGAGGTCGGCCTGTTAGCTTAGCTCGTAGCTTAGCTGCTTTTAATGATCCAAAAACACGATTTTGGACGGTAAAAACATATTTTAAAGAGAAAGGGAGGGGTCAGTGAAGAGCACCGGAGTTGAGCCTTTTGTCATCCAGTGTCTTCAGTAGAAAGAGAGGCACGAATAAACGATAAAGCCAATAAATGAAAATTATTGACCTAATTTTAATTTATCATGCGATTATTTGATTTGTTGTTTATTGCGACAGGCCTATTCATTGGTACTCTTAAATAGATCGTTAATCTTTAGCTATAACCATGTTTCAAACTAAGTCTTTCACTTTAATTAGTACCAGCCTTTCAGCCTATTTAATAAATTACATACCATACATATTTTTTGATAGTATAAGGTCCATTGGACTGTAGGCATACTCCCAGGTTGTGGATGCAAGAGAAAATGCAACCCCATGTTTGCTAGACATATGGTGTTGGTGGTCAAAAAAAATCCAAGGAAACTATCCAAAGTCAAAGGTCACTTTATGATTTCACCGTTTGTCACATTTTTTTAAAATCATACAAGAAGATCCCAGAGGGCTTCACTACTGTCAAAACCCCACAAATAAGTCAAACAGGTATTCAGCAAAATGCAGGTTGACATGCCTCGAAGACTCTGAGAGAAGTTTCTGGAACAGACGAGACAAACTGGAGCTTTTTGGTTTTAGTCACATCACTTGTGTTTTTTTGTTTGTTTGTTTCTCCGTTATTGTGGAAGAGTACCAACAAATGTGTCTGCGTCTGAGAAGAATGTTTTCTAACAATTTTAATTCAGTAAAACTAATTTCCATACTTTTTTTTTGTGGTCTTCTCAACCTTTTTTTTTTTTTATAACAAGCATCACGTTGTTGGGGACTGCCTGAAGGCAGGCACCTGTCATTATCCACCTTACTTAGGGTTTCTTAACTTTATTGGGGACTGCCTAGTAAGGCAGCCACCTATTATCCAGCTGAAGAGGGTCTTGCTTTTCCTTCAACTTTAATGCGACCCGAACCGCAATGTGTACCCCCACAAATTTTATATCAAAGCGACCAGCCTGGCACTGTGATGTGTGCTTTTACTTTTATTGGCATTTCGAGTTAGCATTGCAACATAATTTGCAAACAAAGACGCATTAAAGACGGCTTTTTGTTTGTTTTCAAACTCACAGTAAGTAATCATCAGATGTATCTCTAGAACTGATTAAATTTTGGAGCTGCTTTGGTTCAAAATGGCTGCCACTGCTACCTTAGAAAACACAAAATTGGCTATAGCTCAGTCATCCTTTGAGATATTGAGCTGAAATTCAGTATGGTGGTAGCTGAGAGCAAACCCCAACACATATGTTGTCAAACCAACAATTTGAACTAGCCGCAACGTAGCAGTCCCCGTCAAAGTTTCTCCAGAAACTTTCTAGTTTCTTTGTTATATAATACTGAAATGTTCCAACACACAGTCCTTGTACGCTGAATACCGATGTCTTTGAGCACATTTTAATTCAGTAAACTAGAGCTAACAGCATAAAGAGTATAAAACCACCTGTGTCAGAATCTGTAGCTTTATTGTTCAATCTGTGTTCTATAGTTTCTTCTTTTATACCGTGTTTTCCCTATTTTCACTTTGCTTTCTTCTCTGCTGCGTTTCTCACCTTCTCTTTGTGTCTCATTCATTCACTCCTCAGGTTGATCGACTGATGGAGTTGTATTTTAAATACCTGGAGGCTGTTCAACAGGCTGACAAGAGGATCGAAGGGGAGAAACATGTAAGCATCCTTTCTTTTATCTTTCCTCCATCTGTCCCTCCCACCTTCTCAATCTGACACCCCCTCCTCCAGTTTCTTTTCTTTGGTCGCCTTTTTATAAAATACCTTCATATCAATCCAGCTGCAGGATAGATTCACAGGAAACTCAAATATGTAGGCTAAAATCCCTTTGTTTTGACTTGAATCTTATATAAAACTGAAATATAGTAAATTTTATGTTTTATGTGTGGACTTTGTTGATCAAAGCTGCAATTTCTCTGTTAATTAATGTTGTGATTTTTTTTATCTCACATCATCAGCAAGTTGATATGAGATTAAAAAACTAAAAGCAGGTTCACAAATAAGATTCAATCTTTAAAATTGCCCACAGACAAAAAAAAAAATTAAATATGAGCATCAGTGCAGCATATTCCTAAAGTCCTAATTATGTGATCATCTATTAGATTAAAACTGTAAAACTGCTGTATAAATGTTGAGATAATAACCATAATCTTGTTTTAAGATAATGGTGTATCTTAAAAAATAAAGTATAAAAAATGGTGTCCTTTTTTATAAGGTGTTCAGTTTTGCAGTGTTGCATCTGCCTAAATATCACATATTGCATAACAAGTGTATATATAATAGCAGAGTACTTAATATTTAGTTGTTTTTATTTTTTGCACATGCATAAATAAGGAGACTGAAAGGACAAATTACAAGTCACTGTTTAACATCTGATTGTCAGCTCTTTCCTGCACTTAACGACAAATTTTAAACCAATTTGTGATCAGCATTTTTATTTAGAACATTTTCATTTCATTTAATATTTAAGATCAAGGCCCAAAATTTAATTTAGTCACAAGTTTTGAGATTTATTTTTAAATTTAACAGTCTACTTTAATACAGTAGTCCCTTGTTTATCACGGGGGATCCATGCCCTGAAGCCTCGATAAGTGAAAAACTGCTAAGTAGGAATAGTAATACAAGTAGTAAGTAGTTAAGTAGTAGTTTATTTTAGTGTTTATATATATATATATATATATATATATATATATATATATAAAGGTGTTTTAAACCCTTTCCACACTCGCAATATTCTAAACAATGAAATCAGCTCTCTGTCTCCAGCTGCTCTCTGTCAGTGCTCTAGGCCATGCCCACTTCTCCACTGCACAGGAGGAAGTTTCTCCTTCAGCTGTGGGCTGCACACAGGTGCAGCAGGTGCTAAATAATTTAAAATTTATTTTAAATAAAAAAATCTATGTCAATCATGTGGCTTATCCATCAATCAGCCAATTGTGTGTCATGTCCAATCTTATTTTGAAAAACCGCGATAGAGCGAGTCCGCGAAAAACGAACCACGAAGTAGCGAGGGACTACAGTATAGTGGTCTTTTTTTAAAGCAGCTATTGGTGACATAATTCACTGTGAGCAGCTTGTTACATGACTGTAGACGATTCTTCACGTAAACGTGTCCTTCACTTATGATTGAAAAATTGACTGGTTTTGACACAGTGACTTTTCAACACTGTGGTCCGTCTTGAAACTGGTAATCGTCTTATGCTGTGTTACGTTCAAAGCTGCAGGACAAAAGACCACCAGTCTGTAACAATTTGACAGTTTACGGAAGAATAGAAAGTTTGATAGGTGAGTGGTCTCTCTTGAGCTGCGTGTGAAGATGTATTTCAGCGTGTTGAGTTGTTGGTTAGACAGCTCGATGGAAGGAAGCCGATAGAAGTGACCGGGCAGGAGAGTGCGACAAAAGAAGCAAAGATCATTCTGACTTCAAAAAAGGATGAGAAGACGAGAAAAAACTGAGAGACGCTGTAAAAAAAAAAAAAAAACGAGGAGGTAGGTAAAAAGAGAAATGGAAGGAAAGAGATAAAGCCTGAGTGAAAGAGGGAATGACGAAGAGGAGGGAGGTGTGGGAGGAGACAGATAAGTGAGAGATTTCTATCTAAAGATGACAGAAGATTAATTTCTCAGACAGACCGTGTGGTACGATTGCCAAGAAAAGGCCAGGCAGTTTGACATTCTCGTCTCCTCCCACTTTTTTTCCTCCCTGCCTGTCTCCCTCTGCTGCTCTCTCGCCTCCTCCCGCGGGATGGTAAAAGAGTGGCTTCACGATAACCTGGTGATAAGAAACGCTGTCTGTGTGTGCTGCTATCTTTGAAACCACATTGCTAAGCTTCCTCAGTTCCAAGTCATTCTGGGAGCCAGACACACGGAAGGCAAAAAGTGAGAAATAACACGTGCTTTTTAATAGTTAGTGGCAACAAATTTCTGCTCTTTACATGCGTTAACAGGAGGAACTTTCAATAAAAGTCTTAATATTTTGTTTATTTTTAACTAAGGAGCAGACTGTAGGGCTTATAAACTGTGTTGGTTGACTACGAAGATTAGAGGAGGATGACCTGATGACTGTCCAGATGACCTGACTGAGCTTTGTTAGATTTTCTACCTGGATTATTGAGCATGGACTTTGATGTTTTGAACCACTTTGGCTATGGCTGCCTCAGAGGAGTCGACGGGGGAGAGGGCGAGCCCCAGAAACCATCTTATCACCAGCAAATTGGTTGGTCCACCATGTGGGTGTGCTGCTTGTGGGACTCGGTTTATTGTGGTTCCTCGGACTAATGAAGTCCTTTGGATGGAGGACCAAACATCTCAACAACAAAAAAAGACCGTCCAGATCAACTGACTAAACATTGTTGAATTTTTACGTGGATTACTGAGCATGAATTTTGATGTTTTGAACTATTTTGGCTTGCAGTGCATTGATTCAAAAATTGGCACTTCTGGTGGAAAATTTTAAATCCCGGATGCACTTAAGTTAAAGCTAATGAGTTTGTGTTGCAGAACATATTTTAGCAGTAAACATTTTATTGTATAATGTTGTTTTTATTACATTTAAAATAATAACCATTAAAGTATTGTTCACTGCAGTTATTATAATAAGGTCCTTTGAGACCATAGCACATTTTATGTTCAGTTCAACAGGACATAGATGGGTTATTTTTACATTTCCATAATCTATATTGCTTTATTTTTAAGCTTTGCTAATAGGGTACAAATTGTTAATTGTGCGATGAAGTGGGATGCTTTATTTTGGAGCAATGCTTGGTAACTGGTGTGTGTATTTAAGTTTTGCCACAGTGTTTTTAGTGTTATGCTGCTGGTATTAGTACTGTTTACTTTTGTATTGATAGGTGTACCATATTTTTTGCAACGTTAATGGATGAAATTACAAATGAAATGATTTGTATTATCACTAGGGTGAAATAAGTAATAAAAAGTACTGCTGGGAAAGAACAAGGAAGCATTATTTGATTTTAGCAAATGATAAACAGAAATACTGTTAAACAATTTTTTACAAGGTATGTCCCAAATGTTTTATACATTATTAGGTTTTAACATCTTTTTTCATTCTTTTTTCTTTTCTTTTCTTTTTTTTAAACATCTGTTTTCTCTGGGTTCTCTGGTTTCTTCCCACAGACCAAAAACATGTTAGACTGATTGGTAACTCTAAATTATCCCTCGGTGTGAGTGAGAGAAAGAGTGAATGGTTGTTTGTCTTGTCTCCGCATGTCCCTGTGATGGACTGGAGACCTGTCCAGTGGTCGGTGACTACAATGGCTGCTGGATATGGGCACCAGTGACTACCAGATACTAGGCTGTATCATGTATGATACATGTGTCCATGAGCCCAGAGTAATAAGACCCGCCTCACATTTAGGAAATCCAGTTCATAGTTTGCAGCCAGCTACAACGTGATGGCTGAGTTAGCAGCACTGTGGCTAACAGCTAACAAACTTTAAATCTAAACATGTCCGCTGTGTGGAAGTATTTTACACTAAAAACACCACAAAGCAATGCAGCAACGTGCATTGTCTGCAGAGCCATAGCGCCACATTAAGCCGCGGTAAAGTTAGTTTTACGATGGACATTCGAGCTCCGTGGCTTCAGCGGGGCACTGCTCTTTGCTCAACCCGGGGCGGCCAACTCAACCTCGGTCAGTTGCTAAACTGACAGTTGCTAAATATTATATATATATATATATATATATATATATATACATATATATATATATATACATATATATATATATATATATATACATATACATATACATATATACACACACACACACACACACACACTGCCTGGCCAAAAAAAAGTTGCCATTTCCATCCAGTTTTGCATCAATTTTTCACCAATATCTTGCATTGATGATGGCAGATTCTGACCACTGCACAAAGCCTTCTCTAACACATCCCATAGATTCTCAATGGGATTAAGGTCTGGACTCTGTGGTGGCCAATCCATGTGTGAAAATGATGTCTCATGCTCCCAGGACCACTCTTTCACAATTCGAGCCCAATGAATGCTGGCATTGTCATCTTGGAATATGCCCGTGCCATCAGGGAAGAAAAAAAAATCCATTGATGGAATAATCTGGTCATTCATTATAGTCAGGTAGTCAGCTGACCTCATTCTTTGAACACATACTGTTGTTGAACCTAGACCTGACCAACTGCAGCAACCCCAGATCTTAGCACTGCCCCCACAGGGTTGTACAGTAGGCCACATTTTTTTCTGACCACATTACTTCCTCGAAGACGATGGGTCCCCACTATCCTTCCTGTTTTTAATAATGCGTTGGACAGTTCTTAACCCAATTTTATTAGTTTCTGCCATCTTCAGATATTTTCTCTGCTTGATGCACGCCAATGATTTGACCCTTCTCAAACAGACCGACATCTTTTCCACGACCACGCCATGTGTCTTTCAGCATGGTTGTTTAAGAAATGAGAAGCAACTCATTGCACCAGTTGGAGTTAAATAACTTGTTGCCAGCTGAAAGATAATCGCCCATGCAGTAATTATCCAATAGGAGGCTCGTACATATTTGCTTAGTTAAATCCAGGTGGCAACTTGCTATTGCCTTTAGCCTTAGCTTTTGTGTGCACTACAAATGACAAAACTGACCACCAGACAATTGTTTTATTGTTTTTTCCCCA